TACCTGGAGAAAGATCCACTAGCTCCCAAGTATGATTTTGCATGATAAGTTCAATTTCACTATTTATGACTTCTTTCCATAAAGGAGCTTCAAGAGAAGACATAACTTCCTTATAACTTTGTGACTCATTCTCTAATATATATGTCAGAAAATCAGGACCAAATGACTTAGATATTCTATCTCTTTTACTACGTCTAGGTTCTTCCTTATTTTCATCATCTATAGACTATTGGTCTATATTCTCTTGTATATTGCTATTAACAATATCATGATTTCTTTTAAGAGGATTTTTATAAGGAAATATAGTCTCAAATAAACAAGCAATCCTTGACTCAATAATTGTATTAACATGGATGTCAGGAATGTCTGATTTATGCACAAGGAAACGATATGCACTACTATCTGTGCACAGCCTATGAAAATACCATCAAAGGTTTTTGGTCATATCTTAACTTTCTTAAGAGTAGGAACCGCAACCTTATATAAACATTCCCACACTTCTAAGAATTTATATGAAGGTTTTTGACCTTTCCATAATTTATAAGGTGTCACATTTGTTTTCTTTTGAGGTATTTTGTTAAGAACATAATTAGCAAAAAGCAAAGCTTTTCCCCACAAATTCTAAGTTAAACCAGAACTTATCAACATAACATTCATCATTTTTTTTAAGGTACGGTTTTTGCGTTTAGCAATACCATTCTGTTGAGGTGAATAAGGAGCGGTAGTTTGGTGAATTATTCTGAGCAAATGTCAGCGAATGGTACTTCGTATTTTCTACCTCTATCACTTCTAAACACCTTTATCTTTTTGCTAAGTTGATTCTCAACCTCATTCTTGTAATGTTTAAATATTTCCAAGGCTTCATGTTTGCTTCTTAACAAGTATACATAACAATATCTTGTGCAATCATCAATAAAAGTAATAAAATACTTTTTTCCACCTTTGATTGGCATAGATTTGAAGTCACAGATATCACTGTGAATTAAAGCTAGAGGTTCACTACTTCACTCTATAGAGTGAAATGAAGCTCTAGTCAGTTTTGCTTCTCACATGTTTGACATTTTTTTTTAAATCAATACTAAATTTAAGTATAAAATTCATGTCAATTAATCTACGAATCGTATCATAATTAACATGTCCTAACCTACCATGCCACTCATCAGATGACTCAATCATATAAGCAGAAAAAGTGTTAGCTTTATTATTATTATTAATAGTTTTGTGTACAACAGTCATTATATTGAACTTGAATAGTCCATTACTTAGATACCCTTTGCCCACATACACCCCATTCTTAGTCAACACAAACTTGTCAGATACAAAGACCAGTTTGAACCCATTCTTGCTTAGGAGTGACCTAGAGACCAAGTTCTTCCTGATGTCTGGTACATGCAGCACATTATTTAAAATGAGCTCTTTTCCTGAGGTCATTAGTAGCTTGATCTTTCCTTATCATTCGGCCTTTGCAGTAGAAGAGTTCCCCATGTAAAGTTATTCTTTATTATCTATAGCTTCATAGGTAGTGAACATCTTCTTTTCTGAGCAAATATGACGAGTAGCTCTTGTGTCCACCCACCATTCTCTATTGTTGCTCACAAGGTTGATTTCAAAAACAACAGCTGAAAGATTTAGCTCTGACACATCAGCCATCAACTTATCTTCCTTGGCAATGTGCACTTCAGTGGTCTTTTTCTTGGAGTTATGTTGTGCTTTGCGGCTACGACAGTCTTTAGCTCGGTGTCCTAACTTACCGCATATGAAGCACTTCCCAGTGAACCTCTTGTAGTTTCCTTGGCTAGGACGTCCTTCAGAGTGCTTCCTCTTCTTATTTTTTGTCCAGCTTCCACTACATTTGCCTTTAACACCATTGAAGAATTCCCGGCTTTCTTTTCAGCTGTGCGGTTTTCTTCTTCAATTCCTAGCCTAACAATCAGGTCTTCGATCCCCATTTCCTTACGCTTATGCTTCAAGTAGTTTTTGAAATCTTTCTAAGTAGGTAGCAGTTTTTCAATGATTGAAGCTACTTAAAAGGATTCACTCAAAGTCATCTTCTCAGCATGTATCTCATGTAGGATCAGCTGGAGCTCCTGCACTTGGCTCATTATTATCTTAGAGTCTATCATTTTGAAATCCAGAAATCGTCCGACCACGAACTTCTTCAAGCCAGCATCCTCTGTTTTATACTTCTTGTCTAGGGACTCCCAGATCTCTTTAGCAGTATTTATTGGACTGTACACATTATATAAAATGTTGTCCAATCCATTGAGGATGTAGTTCTTGCATAAGAAGTCTCCATGCTTCCATGCATCAACAGCTCCTAGCTTCGTAATGTTAGTCTCACCCTCATCTAGCACTGGGCAATCTCAGTTAGGTACTTGTTTAGATTCAGAGTTGTTAGGTAGAACATCATTTTCTGTTGCCACCTTTTAAACTCCGCCCCATTAAATTTTTCGGCTTCTCCCCATGACTCACGGGAATATTAAACATAGTAGTACTTGTACTTGTTATTCGTCTGTTATATATTAAATATGCAGACCACAGTCAATTTACAATAATAAAATAACAACAACAATATTTAAATAATTAAATTATAGTATAAGTTGAATCTGTCTTAAGATTGCTATAGTACTATTTATTTAAATATTATGTAAAAATATAATGTTTATATATATATATTATTATTATTATTATTATTAGATAATCAAATAAAAATTATATCCTTAAGAATGATCCGCCCCGCTATGGTACTAACGGACTCAGTAGTGTCTATCTCTCATGATATAATGACTTGTCTTCCTTCGATAATAGCACTACAAACCAAAGGAATAGACGAACCAGCTCGGTGTAGTATTCTCTGACTCAAACTCGGACTCGGAGTCATTGACTAAGGCTCGAACCCAAAGACTAGGACTCGAACCCACAGACTAAAGAGAGAAAGAATAAATAAATTCAAAAGAAAAGAAGAATTCTCTAAATTTTGGTGTGATTTGCAAATGATCCAAAGGGGGGTATTTATAGGCAGCAATGTGCCTTTTCCGGTAGGGGCAACCATGGGTTATGATGGTTCAGAAAAAGGTACAACCCTTTGGAAAAAAACTAAAAAGTGGTTTTTAATTTAAATTCAAAAAACCAACCACTCATTTAAATAAGCCCAGCCCAAACACAGGCCCAATTCAAAATTCCGCTTAATAAAAAGAATAACTAAACTTTACAATTAAGCCCAAGCCCAAGCTTAACTTATTTAAATTTCAATTGGTTTCAACATTTTTTCCATTTAGGCTTATCAAACACCTCACTTTGGATGTAATTTCTCATTTACCCGGAAACGGATTTGAGAAAATAAATATACCACGCTCATCTCCTTGCGGAGAGGAACGTGCTTGTCTATAGATCCGCAAAAAATTCTTAGCGGAATCTATTCCAATTCACATCCAAAATTTATCTTTTTAATGCTCCCGTTTCCAACATATAGATATATATATATATATATATATATATATATATATGTATGTATGTATGTATGTATGTATTACACACACATATATTGTGCATATAATAATAATTGTAGTAATTTACTGTAATTCAATATGTCTATGATCTTTTGGAGCCATTTCCTATGATTTTTTTATGAGGAATGCTAAGGAGAGTCGCCCTAGCGACTGCCCATTCACAGTCGCTATTCTTATTGGTGAGTTGAATTGTAATTAATGCCTTCCTTAATTAGATGTTTTCTACCTTTTATAAGATATTAAAATATATTTTTTTATGGACAAAACTACCCTTATCCCTTTCAATTGCCTTTCTTCCCACTCCTCCCTTCGTTCACATATTGGTGTTTATATATATATATATAAGGGTTAAACGACAATTAAAAATAAAAGAGAAAAAAGAATACACACACATATTGTTAGCTATATATATATATATATATATATATATATATATATATATGAATTTATGGTTGAGAGGATTGCATATATATATATAAACTGGGATACGGATCTAACAAGGAAAAAAAAAAAGGAAAGTAATCCGTACAAATCTAACAAGGAAAAAAAATGAAAAAATGAAAATAAAAGTAATGTTATATATATAGGCATACGAATCGAAAAATAAAAATAAAAAATAAAAAAGGAGGAAAGTAATGCTGTAATGTTATATATATATATATGTATATATATATATATACACACACACTATATATGTAAACTTTACAAGTGAGAACTGAAGAGACGGATGAAAGGCTTAAAAGGGCTGTTTTGTCTCCAAAAAAAATATAATTTTAATATTTTATAAAAAGTGATAAACTTGTAATTAATGAAGGCATTAATTATAATTTTACTCACCACGACTGTAAATGAACAGTCGCCTAAGCATTCCTCTTTTTTTATATATATTATTTTTTGGCACCATTTCCTGTGAATTTACTAATGTTGTTCCTAATGTACCTCCCAACAAGCAAGAGTGAGTATCTTCCGCATCGTGCAACGCGATTCATGATATTAAAGTGAACCTACATCAATCCCACTGATCTTAGTCGTTCGTTTAGGCGACATCCCCACGTGCTTAGGACTTCAACCTACTAGTATAATGCCACGATACAAGAACGAAATGTCTCTGTCTCTCTATAGTCTATATATATATATATATATATGCACACGCGCACAGACTTCCTCGTGCGGCAAGCTTTTATTTAATGAATTCATCCCACGTGGCTCGAGACTAAAATTCTTTACACGTGCAATCGCCGACCAAGAAAGGCCTTATCATTCCCCCAACAAATCATCCCACGTGTACACCTCTCTCAGACCGACTCATCTCTACCGTTTGTTTGTCTGGCTCTTCAAATTCAAAGCCAAGTACATTGACCATTTTTCATCTCTAGCCTCAATCTCCACCGTAGATCTTGAAAAATACTAATACTTTGACTTTCTTGGGTCCCACTTTGCATGGTTATGATAATCTGAAGTGGAGTACAAAATTAACCAACTGCTTGGTAAAGAAAATCACACGAACCATCTTGGAAATACTTCTTAAATAATTGTGTCCAGTTTTTGACTCTCATATTCATACACTCATATATATGTACATATATATATATAACTAATATATATATGTTTGTGTGTGCGCGTTTTCATTTACCCAAGGGTTGCCTGAAGAGGTAGAAAAATCTCCAAATGGGTGTGTCTGAATCAGGGATTGGATGCAAGAAGCACACAAACGACCAGCAATTGCCTGGTGTTTGTTCGTCTTGTCTAAGAGAGAGACTGTCTGACCTCTCATATTCATCTTCTTCACATGCCAATATATATACAGCAAATATGGCTTCTTCATATACTTCTCTCTCTTACTCTTCTGCTTCTTCTGTTTGTATATCACCAACACATGGTCATGGTCGTCGCCACCGTCGGACCGCTTCTGACGTAAAGGGTTCCATCTCTTTCATCTTGAATGCAAACACAGGGCTCAAAAAGAGCAGATCAATGGCGTTTGTCGCAAGAAGCCGAGGCCTAGACGGTTCGGTCAGTGGGAGGAAGAAGGGAGGGAGATTTTGGTCCAAGCTGATTCGTTCCACGGGTAATAAGATGAAGGGGGTTTTGATGCATTCCAGGACTACTGTAAAAGAGAGGTTTGAGTATTAGGGTTGTGTTAATGGTGGATTTTGGCTAATAAACAGAAAGATGAAAATAGAAAGAAGGTCTATTTTGTGATATATATATATATATATATATATATATATATATATATATTTTGTATATAACTTTCTGTAATCTGTATGACATGATGAATATGTGCATCAAAGATTTTAGCTCTTTTATCTCTTTATCTGCAAATTGTATATGATCGATCGATCTTCATCTTCAGCAGCTTCGATCAGGATTTTAGTATTGTATCTGCATGCATCTCTTGGGTCAAAGTAATATGGCGTGTTAGGTTGAACCTTTTGTTTTTGTTTTTGTTTTTTTGGTACACAACTTTAGGTTGAACCTTTATGGTCAATTTTACGAGTTTTATGAAGTCATGTTGCTTCTTTAGTTAGGTCGAACCTTTTGTTTTATGTTTCTTTGTTTTTGTTTTTTGTAAATATGTTTAGATTGAACTTTGAATTTTACCAATTTGATGACTCACCTTTGTTGAACGTCATTCAAGAATAGGTAAATCAATTTAACTTGATTACAATACGGCCATATTGGGAATATGTATAAAAAAATTAGAAAGATACAATTCAAGCGATTGTCCGTCCACAAAACAAATAATAATATATATGTGTGTGTGTGTGTGTGTGTGTGTGTGGTTGTCTTTAAAAAATTACTTTTTAAAAATCCAAAAAAGATAAATAAATAAATAAATAAATAAATAAAAAGAAAGATACAATTAAGGAGCTCTTATGATTGATTTTTTTTTTTTTAGGTAAAACTTATGATTGATTTTTGAAACAATGGCACACCTCAAAAAGTTACTTCGATGTGTCATATGAATTTAACCAATATACCTATGGAGTGAAATGTAAGAAGAAGAAAATGAGAGTTGTGTACTTGCTAATTTTCATATGCAAAACAAGATAGTATTGGGTGTGCCCCGCCCGGCACACCCTGCATCCGGCTAAGTTGTAACTACATAAGTGGCTAAGTTGTAACTACATAAGTCGGATGAGCACTGTGCACAGTGTGCCAAGCGCACCCAATATCATTAACACAACAGACTGGTCTTTTCAAACCAATGTGTGGATTTGGTGTGGAAAACATGTATCTATTCCCTGTTTGGTGGATTAATAGGATCAAAAACCTCGAGGACCTAAACGTTGTCCCTTATTTTAGGACAACTATGCTGATTTCTTTGTGTTAGGTCGAGCAAAACAATATTACTTTCCGCTTCTCTCTCCCATTTTATCATCTTCCGAAACTTTCCATAACATGATTTTCATAAAAGCAAAAAAACGTACTCTTAAAAGATGCACATATTAAGTCTTTATTTGGTAGGTGAATTTAGTGAGAAAGAGAGTTTAATGAAAAACAGGAAAAACTAAAAGAAAGTGAAAGAAAGCAAACCTATTGATTTCATGTCATTTCACTCTTTTCAGTTCCTCTCCGTTCTTGATATCTTGCTAACGATCATCGCGCCTATGACATGACAGGGAAAATGAAAATTAATGTACATACAAACTCATGACAAATACTTTGACATTGAATGCTACATAATTCATTACAAGTTGGTGAAGAAGAAAAGAGGGACATGAGCAAAGCTCTCCACCTGTAAAAATATGTCATTCATTGCTGTGATGAACACTCTATGGAGGCACCTTTTAACACAATTTCAACTTCCATTCTCCGGTAGCAGAATCAACACAAAAGTAAACCGATCTCGAAATGCATCATGTTCAATTCTTCCTAGAGAAGAATACAGTATTCAGTGCCTATATACTACTACAATGAAAACTGTTGAAAATCCCTTGCAATATCATTCCTCCACACAATTTTTCTAGTGTACTTTTTCATACCTTTCAATCAGCTGTTTATTTCCGCCGCCTCCCAACTTTGCTTCCCGCACCACAGAGAAAAATAAATAAATAAATAAATAATCAAAATAAGAAAAAATAAAACTTTTCTATAAGATACTTGGATCGGAGATGAAAGAAAGAAAAAAAAAAAAAAAAAGGTTAGGATTTGCATTCCAATCATTTTATGGGACCGTACAACTTCAACCAGTGACAAGTAAATTATGTGAACTTGTAACCAAAAGCTACACTGTAGGGTATTTCCTCACCTTTCAACATGAAAGGCTGAGGGTTCAAGCTATAGACATAGTGGCTGCGTTATTTACCAGAGGATGAAAAAAAAAAAAAAACGTCAAATTGTACAAACTGTGGATATTATCTAGACGACCCCGAAGTTCTGATTTCAGTTCCATCTTCATCCTCATCATTATAACTACCACTACCACGTGCTAAAGCTGGTTGTTTTAGTCTCTGAAATATTTCATCAAGGGATTCAGATGAGGAAACACGAGAAATAAGATTGGCTTCTTCCACTCGATGTAAAGGAACAAATTTTTTTGCACCCATGTTTGTCTTGAAGCTTTGCAATCCCGACTTCATTGATGCCCACGTTGAGGCTAAACGAGAGGTTGACGCTCCTGCCATGCTATCAGACTGGGAGTTGCCTGCATCAAGCAAAGAGACCTTAGCGGAGGCAATGTTGTCCTCTGGCTTTCTGTTGGATGCTTGTCGGCTCTGTCCCCTTATGGCAGCATACTTGTTGCTGATGGCTTCTTTACTGCCACTATATCTCCGAACCTCATCTTTCAAAGGTTTTGATGAACTTCCCTTCAGATCCTCCATTAAAGTGGCTGCTGCCTTCATTTCAACAGCAGCCCCGTCCTGAAAATTTAACTTCAAAGGTTAGAACCAAGCTGTGCCCCAAGTTTTCAGGCTGAATGGAATGAAAAGAATAGACAAGACAACCATAATCACGGTCTAAAAGACTAACTTTAACACTAATAAATAGAACTTCTAGGTGATCGTTCATCATTGGGGAATTACATCTTTTAGTAGATTAAATTTCGAAGCATATTGATCCAGATATTTCCATGTGTAATAATGTTAAGATGAAAAGGGAGAAATAAATTTTATCCTTTAAGAGATGGTCACGTACAGTGATGTCGCCTCCAGACTCTATGTCCATGATCATATTGTTGAAATTCCTCGCCAATGGGATTACATGTTCACCAGCTTTGCGCCCTTCTCCAAGCCAAGTTCGTTCTGAATAGACAGGGACAAGAAATAAAATACTAGCAGATAGGTAATGTTACATAAATCAATTGATTGCCCGCCAAGTTGTTTGGGCAAGAGGATTCAACAAATCAAAATGTACTTCTAAGCATTTCAAACAGGGTCACAAAGATGTGGGTCCCTTGTTTAATATTGAGAGAGAGTCCAGACACAAAATATTGTAGTAAATATGTAATAGACAAAATTGCAAACCTTTTTGCAAGATAATTAATCCTGATGGATCAAAACCATCCATATCATCTGCTGCCTCAGTTTGGACTCTAAATATCTTCCAGTTCCCAAAATAATTAATAACCCGGTTGAAGAAATTGCTCACAACCAATAAAGTGTAGATCACCATAATAAGTGGATAAATTTTGTTAAATCCATTTCCAAAGAAAGGAACAGCTTGATCGATGTTCCCCATTCGCTGCAATCATAATGCCACATCAAAATAAAATATCTTTGAGGAAGAGAAGTTAATGAAAGCTTCGACACATCTGCTACTTGAGAACTCAATACAGCCTAAACCCAATGCATAAAACACACATGCATGAAATTTCAGTTAGTAAAAATTCAATTAAAAACTAGAACGGTGCCAAACAAAAAATGATATAGGATGGTTTAAATTGGAATCAGGAAACTTGGACAATAATTGTGTTAAATGGGGTTCCTATCCTTTTTATCCCCAAACCATTGAAACACCAGCTGCTCCTATTTTCAAAACTTAACCACACTTACTCCCCTCCCGTTGTATACCACCAAGTAGTTTGGAAAAGGCTCTGTCGGGTTGAGTTGCTTTAATGGATAACAAAGAACAAGATCCCAATCTAAATATATTTAGTACATAAAATTCTCCTACCACTTCAAAGGAGAAAGACTAGCACTGGATATTGTTGAAGTAATCTAATTTTTCCTTTCCCAAACAAGTTCATCAATGAATATTTTGGTTCACTGTGAAAGCACCCGGAAGCCCAATATCCATGTGAACAATGATATATCATGTAGAAATTACCAAAACAAAATAAAATAATATATGTGTGCGCAATTATTTTACATGCTTTCTTGCATAAAATTGAATGTGGCAGGCCATTTATCTTGCAGATTTCAGTTTCTGCTAGAGGAATAAATGGGCAGTTTAAAAAAAAAAACCAACCACCAAAGCACGTGATGGAAGAGCTCACCTTCTCAAAGATAGTTTTTTCATCAAGACGAATGAGATTGAGAAAATTGTATGAAATTGGAGGTGCATACCGAGCAACCATCCTGCAGAGATATTTGGATCGAATACAACTATAAGCTTCTTTTTGAAGATAATATGTAAGATATAATACAATAACCTAATTTATGCCAATAAAGCTATGAGCACATGAGAAAACTTACGAGCAAATCATAAGCAAGTTGACGGAGCTTGTTTGTCTTGGTGTTAATGAGTAAAACGTCAGCATCCCAACTTTGAACAACGAATAGTACGTGCAAATGCACATGTACATCAGAGGAACAAAAGCAAAGGCCTGTGGGAAGACTGAACTAATTAATTTACAATTCAAAAATTGAGAGAAAGACAGACAGACAGACATATACAGCCTAGGTGGTATGACCAACCTCCCCTCCCTATAGGGTAAGTGAGGGGTTCTGGAGGCAAAAGTGTGTGGGTGTGCATGAATTGTTTACCTAACCAAAATAGAAAGAAAAAAAACAAAAAAAAAAAAAGGGTAGCCCATTGAACTTCCTTAGACTCCAAGTAGACCAAAGAAAAAAACAGCTATATGGTTGTATTCAAGATTCCAAATAAGCAAATGATCGTACAAAGAAAAGAGTCTACACTAAAAAAGAGAGTTACAGAAATCATGTAACAAGAGGACAAATTAAAGTGAAACAAATTAGATCACATACTGAATGGGACAAATTGATGACAATTTCGTTAAATTAAACAGAGAGAACTTTGTTCGACCCCCGAAATCTCACAAAGGAATCAGGTATTGTATGAAATTGGGTTATCAGGAATGTAAATTGGTTGGGAACAACTAACAAGCTTCTTGTAATGGGTCACCTCTTGATTTATCCTAACAATAAACATAACCGCAACCACATTTGGAAAAATTCAATCCGTCAAAACATGCTCAGACAAATTATGTCATGGATTTGGTTGAGTATGTATGAAATGAGAAGGAAGGTGAGAGTTGAAGTGTGGCTTACAGTTACCCTGTTCGTAGAGCTAGTTTGGAGGGAAAAAAATAGGTAGAGGAAATCCTTTCTTTGTCTTTACTCCCACTCTGATGAGCAAATTATACGAGGTTAACCAACTTATTCTAATGGGCTCATCACTCTTCAACCTTTGTGGATCCTTGGCTAACATTATTTAAGTCCAATTGTGAAACCTAGTGATCATAACTACCAATTTATGTGAAAGTTGAGTTCTTTATAAGGTCACTATATACCTCTCAGGTAACAATGCAAGAATACTAGATGAGTCCCTAGCATGACTTACCTGAGACAACACATTGTCAGCTGGGGTTCATTTGGTGAGATTAGAGTACAAAATATTGCATGTTAGACATCTTCATGCAAATTAGAAAAAGAAATGTATCCACTCATAAACAAGGACATGCACAAGACACAAAAATTCATTCAATAAAGTATTTCTAAGGGACTTGAACTTTTGAATCTAAAATGTAAATTTCTTTCTTCTTTTTTTTCCTAGTTGAAATTCTCTCCTCTCTTCTCTCTCTCTAGACTTAAGGGTTGACCACACAAGCTAACTCCTAAGCCGAAGAGGCCATTGGATAACCAATAATCTAAAATGTAAATTTAGTGTGAGGTATATTGAATCACAAAGCTTATAGAACCATTGCCCCTAAAGGCAAGACGTCCACATGATTCAAATTTAAGTAAAGAATTTCACATACTACCTGCACAAGCACCTCTTCCTGTCCGACAGATTTTATGAGAATTGAAAAAAGAGATAAATCAACTCCACTAGGCAATATAGTTGCCTCTGCTAAAAGAATTGCAGCTGACATGCAAGCAAGAATGATAGCCAAGAGTTTATTGAGTTGCTTCCTAAGGACACATCGCCAGGTTAATTCTGCAAGAAACCACAAAATCTCCAATTAGAATATAAAATATTAAAAGAGAGTAAATCTTGAGTGAATAGCGAAGCCCAAATATATAAAATAATGAACAAATGCTCAAGGCAAGCTCGACCTATGTGATTCTGTCAAAAAAATTGGCTCATCTATCTCCCATTGTTTTTTGCAGATGATTTATTTCTGATATTAAAGGCCTATGTGAAGAATGCTACAAATCTAAACTTACTCCTTGAAGAATTTGGTACTATCTCAGGTCTGAAGGTAAATCATACAAAAAAGTGTGGTATTTTTCTCCAGGTCAATCAAAAGGAAGGGAAGCATTTTGAGGGTTTTAAAATTCAAGGAGGCGTTTTTCCCCTGAAATATTTGGGTCTTCCTCTTGTGGATGGAAGGTTGAAAAAATCTCACTGCTCTCCTCTTCTTGATAAGGTAAACTCAAAGCTATCTGCATGGAGTTCTTTCAATTTATCCATGGGCTGGAAGAGTTGAACTCATCAAATCTTATTACCATTATTGGGCTGCTGTCTTTTCAATCCCCATTGGAGTTCAAGATGAGATTGAAAGAAGGGTTAGGAATTTTTTATGGGGTGGTAGTCCAGAAAAGAAAAAACATCCTCTTCTGGCTTGGGATAAGATTATTTTACCAAAAAAGGAGGGAGGTCTAGGCATCAGAAGCTTCAGGAGCATTGATCACACTTGTGCATGTATGTTGACTTGGCATTTTCTTCTGCCTAAGGAAGATCTTTGGGTTTTAGGGTTCAGGGATAAATACGTTAAAAATTCTCATTTTTGGTCAACGAATGCTAAGGCACGTGATTCTGTTATTTGAAAGGCCATCCTTAACAATAGGGATTTCCTATTCAACAATTGAATTTTTCTATAGGAAATGGAAATGATTTCAGTTTATACTATGATCCTTGGTATAATGGTTCCACTCTTCAGAGACAATATGGTATGAGAAGACTTTTGCCTGCAGGATATATAACTACAATGCTCCACTTTCTATTCTTTATACTTCAGCTGGTTGGACAGTTCCTGAAAACTGGCCTGCAGAGATTGGTCTCTTTCTACAACAGCTTGCAGGACTCAAATTCTGAAGATTCGATCAAATGGAAACATGGTGTTCTCTCATTCAAATCTGTCTGGAATGTCTGTAGGGAACAGGGTGAAAATGTCCAATGGTGCAGTCTCCTATGGAATCATAACAGACCTAGAGTTGCAGTTCAAGCTGTTCTCCTCCTTCATAACTCTTTCCCTTCTTATTTTAACCTCGGAAAGAGAGGCTTCATTGGTCCAGCAGTTTGTCATAGTTGTTATACAGATGTTGACTTTTGGGATCACTTGTTTTGGTGCTTCCCTTTTGCTAAGAAGGTATGGCTGTGGTTTTCCGATCTTTGTCACTGGGACGATTTGTTAAGAGTTGATGCACTTCATTGATGTGCTGGATTGGTTTATTGGTCACTCACGAGGACAGTCATTGAAAAGTAAGCTTATAAGGTGCTGGTACACTGCAATTCTGTGGTGCATTTGGGCTGAGAGGAATAAAAGATGTCATGGTGGTACTGTCTTATCCTCTCACCAGTCGGCTATGGAGGCTTGCTTTGAAGGTCTGACCGCTACTGGTCAGACCATTTCAGACACTGGGACCATATTTTGAGATCTAGTTTCTTTTCTATTTTCAGAGTATGGCCTTTATGTTTCATGCTTTGGTACCTCAGTTACTTTGTAATTTTCTTTTTATTCCTTCTTGTGGTTTGGGGTATGCACTAAACTGTAGTTTCTCAATTTTTTTTTTTTTTTTTTTTTCTTTTTCCTGGTTGGTACTCACACACACTGCCTCCACTGAGGTTCGAACCCCTGACCTCCCTTTGGGAAGTAGGGGCCTTGTACCGCTAGGCCACAGGCCTGTTGGTTTCTCATTTTCATGTGATCCTTGAAGTAGATCACTCTCTCTATGTAGTATATTGTTCCATATATAAAATTTTCCACATTCAGGGAAAAAAAAAAAAATTTACTCCAGCAAGCCCATTAATTATTAAAACTTCTAATTAATTGAAGCTATAGAGCTGTATCATTTATTTTGCAGGTAGCACACTCACAACCTGCACTGAAACAATGCTTTACCCAATAACAGAAATAAGGAGGAAAAGGAAACTGAATCAAGAAACATGTGCGTCAACATAAATCAGCCCAATAATACATTGTACTTTAATGAGAGATGAAACTTATTAAGGAAATTCAAACAAATAGATATGTTATTGAATCTGATAATTACCCATCCTATCAAAAAGAGGCCCTAATTTTCCATTTCGATCAGGTCGGAGGCTTGAAATAAATTTCCTGCAAGGGTAGTATCAAAAAGTTTAAAGCCAATTGCAGAATAGCCAAGAAAATATAAGATAAAATTATCATAGCATGAACATCCAGATAAAGATCATTTGGGCTCAATAATGATGTATGATACAAGTATCAAGTAGTGCAGGGAGCATCTAAGCATAAGCTTTCAGTTCATGAGAGGGTTAGTAGCTAAACAATGACAAACAAAGCCTTTTTTCCCAACTACTTGAGGACAGCTACCTGACTTTCATTCCACTCTATCTAAGGCCATAGCCTCGGTCAAACTACATGTTATTGTATCTTTCCTTACTTTGTTATCCCTCCACCTCTCTCTCCTTTTGCATTACCCTCAACGTGGACCATGTCACTCTTCCACAAACGAATCTCTATATAGGACCAATAAAACCAGGGAGAGAAATAAATAAATAAAATCAACCAAAGAAGAGAGTTCATCCCAGATTCATTGTACAAAATTGGAATCACACACTACCAAGTTTGCAGACAGAGTAAGGGAGATTGCTAAGGACCACCCAATTCGAGGAATTTCTCTAGTTCTGTTCTAAAAAGTCAAACGTTTAAAGAGAGAGCAAAATCATTCTACCATCACCATAACAACTGAACAGCAAACAAATACTGCAGAATCAAGAGGGGGGACTACCATACCAGAACATAACCAATAAAAGATTCTACCTTAAAACAATGCAAATTCCAAATATGATCATACTAAAGCGCTGTCCAGAAATGGCAAAAGTTGACTTGGGAAACATTAGTTTTAGGAAAATTATACTGACCTCCCTCAAGTTAGGTGAAATTGCAGAGACCTCCCGTGTATTCAAAAATAAAACTGACCTCCCTTGTCAGAAACGTGCACTTCAATGGTGTTAACGTTTGCTTGATTTTACTAAAATACTCTCAGTTAAGATTTCAAACATTCAGCCATCTCTCTCTCTCTCTCTCTCTCTCTATCTCTCAACAATTCTACTAGTACCAAATCAAGTAGTCCGAAACTTTGTCTGCCAGAATTAGTTACTCCCTCAAGAATTAGGGTTCTGTTCAATTGAATATTTTTAAATCAATGGAAGAGAAAGGCGCCAAGAAAAACCCTAATGGAGGGCCAAAGGCACTTGGAAGAAACAATAAGAGTGGCGTTTCAGATACTCTCTTCCACAAACGACAAGCTCTGGAACCCAACCTTGTGGCAGGTCTACAACTACTTAGTACTTACTAATTCAACTGATATCAAGGTTTGCAATCACAGTGTAACAGAATCGAGCCCGTATCGGGGTTACGTAATGGAATCGGTTATCGCAGCCGTGAGATTTTATTATCTCGCATATAGGGTACGAAATGCACCAATACGCATGTTTTTACAAAAATAATCCGATAAAGATAAATTTTTCGTGAATTTTAGTAATTTTTATTGAATTTTTTAAGACCATTTAACACAAGTAATAACCTATTCATAATTTTAAGTTGTGTTCCTAATTATGTTTTTAGTAAATTAATGAACAATAATAAATTTAATCATTAATAAATGAAGATTCATACCGTGTGTTGATTGTCCCAATTTAAAAATAAAAAAAATTATTGGATTTTAGTGATTTTATTGAATTTTTTAAGAACATGTAACACGTGGTAATGATTTGTTTACAAAATTTAAGTCATAATCTAATTCATTTTACAAAATTAATAAATAAAACTAAACTTAATTATGAGATAAATGGAATTCATATCAACGTTTGAATTTTAAAAAATAATAATTAAATAAAGATATAGTAATTTTTTTACATATAAAATAAATGTGTTTACTTTATATTTGATTTTTAACTTAAGTTCAACTCTCGTTATTGTTCTTGCAAGTGTCAAGCTAATTATAAATATTACTGTAACTCTTATGCACCTTTTTTTTTTTTTTTTTTTTTATTGATAAGTAAAATGTATAAAAAGCACTCAAAAGGGGAGCGTTTTCCAAGGACTACACAAGGCCAAAAAGGCCTCTAAACTTTCAAGGAGTCCAAAAAATCTACAATCTCCTCTAAATATCTATAATTTCTCCCTATAACCCAACAAAAAATAGTAGTAATAATAGAGAACTTAAGCATGGAGATAGGAGTCTCCTTTCCTTCAAAGGATCTCTTGTTTTTATTCGAGCCAAAGACACCACCAGACACACAATGGCGTAACCCTTCAAACATCCCGGACTTGGGCTCCCACTATGTAACCTCTCCAACCCTCAATCAACCCTTTAGAGGACCTTGCCATAACCCATTGAACACCAAACAAACCAAGCATCAAATCCCAGCATTCCCTAGCCATGGTGCAATGCAAGAGAAGGTGATCCACCGTCTCCTCATCTCTTTGACATATGTAGCAACAATTGACCACAACCTGATTCATTTTCCTCAAATTATCCTGAGTCAAAATCTTCCCTAAAACAGATGTCCAAGCAAAGAAAGCCACCTTTAAGAGGGCTTTGGAGCACTAAACAGCCTTCCACAGGAAAGGAACCCTGAGTCCCTCCATGAAACATCTATAGAAGGACCAAACATCAAAGTGGCCCTTAGAAGCAGGGACCCACAACCATCCATCGAAATCTCCACTCATGATCTCCTGGCAATAAAGTAACTCCAAAACACCAACGGCGTCCTCGATCTCCCAATCCTGAAAATGCCTCATGAAAGGAACATCCCAAGACAATCTTCCGCTATCAAGTCGATAACAGTCAACCACCATGGCTTGCTTATCCGTGGCAATCCTGAAAAGCCGAGGGAAAGAGAGAGCAAGCAAGCGGTCACCACACCAAACGTCCTCCCAAAAATTGATCTTCCTACCATCCCTGAGCCGAAATTTGATGTGTTTAAAAAAAGCATCCCATCATTTCCGAATGAATTTCCAAACACCAACTCCCCCTGAAGTACGCACCTTAAGGGAACTACAAACTCCTCTCCCCTCCCCAAATCTACTCGCAATCACCCTCCTCCAAAGCCTATATCTCTGCACTCCAAATCTCCAAAGCCACTTCCCGAGGAGAGCCTTATTGAAAGGCACCAATCTTTTGATTCCCAAGCCTCCGACACGAATCGGACAACTAACCTTCTCCCGGTGAAGCAGATAGAACTTGAACTCCTCCCCCAATCCCACTCAAAGAAAATTTTGCTACAGCCTCTCAATCCTATCAGCCACGGAATAAGGAATATGGAACAACGAGAGGAAGTGAGTAGGAAGACTTGAAAGTGTACTCTACAATAAGGTGATCCTTCCTCCCTTAGAATGATATTGTTTTTTCCATCCCGCCAACCTCTTCTCGAACCTCTCCACCACAGGGTCCCAGCTTCCCACCCTCCTCAAGGACAACCCAAGGGGTAAACCCAAATAAGAGATAGGAAACGAACCAATGCTACACCCAAGAGCCCTTGCTAAAATAGCGATCTCAGGAACTTTCCCAACCGGCACCAAAACACTCTTTCCCACGTTCACTTTCAAACCAGAGACAATTTGGAACCAAATCAGAACACATCTCAAATATCTTATGCACGTGTTAATGATTTGTTTACGAATTTTAAGTCATAATCTAATTCATTTTACAAAATAAATAAATAAAACTAAACTTAATTATGAGATATATAGAATTCATATCATATATAATACGTTTGAATTTAAAAAATATATATATATATAGATAATAATAGTTAAATAAATATATACTATTTTTTTTACATATAAAATAAATGTGTTTACCTTATATTTGATTTTTCTCTTAAGTCCAACTCTTGTAATTGTTCTTGCAAGTGTTGAGCTAATTATATATATTAATGTAGCTCTTATGATAACAAAAGGTGAGTAGGTGATGTTTGGCCCAGTGACAGAAATGGAAACAATTCTCAAAAATGTATTAACTAATTAAATATTTTAGTAGTCAATGTAATAACAAAAAAGGCATCTGGCTTAGTGGTGGCAGTGGTTACAGTCACAACTTTGAGCCAGGTTTGACTCTCCTAAGCGCAATCTATTTTGTCAAAAACACCAAGAATGTTTGTTGTTTGATAGGAGTGGGCTGGTTTGCGCTTAGCCCGTTACTTACAAAACGGACGGTTCATTAGAAAATCGCGTGAATCCGTACACCATCCGGTAAACGGGTTTGTGACGGAACCGTAGGCTCCAAAAACCATTCCGAATTGGCCGGTACGCGCCGCACCAGCCTGTTCGGTGAACCATGACTAAGATACTTAGTAATATAAAATCCATTATTAATTTAAGGGATAATTACACTTACTTCCCCCGTAGATTGCCTAAATAACAAGGACCTCCCCTATGGTTTTAAATATAACACTAACCTCCCCTATTAACCAAAGGTGTTAAATAACTATTATACCTATCGTACTTCTATTATTTTATAATGTAAAATATTTGTTTCTTTATGGACAAAATAACCAATTCAAGCTTTCTAAGAGAATTCTAGGGCTTTACATAAATATTGAGCATGACATCAACATACAACAATGTCAGATTTTTTGACGAGGGAGGTCTGTGTTACTTAGACCTGAACCAGAGAGGAGGTCAGTGTTATATTTGAAACTAAATGGGTGGTCCCTGTTATTTAGGCAATCTACAGGGGAGGTTAGTGTATTTATCCCTTAATTTATTATCCAACTAGATTTCTAAATTCCTCCACACAAACAACACCAGCTCATAATATAATGAAAAGAAGGAAAAAAAAAACATCTCGAAGAGAAAAACATGCAAGCAGCCTTTCTTTTAACACCACCTACACAATCTCTCAAACAAATCTAACCTCTAAAAATAGATTCCTTGTACAAAAATAAATAAATAAATAAATTCAATATCCAGGAAATAAAAGAATACAGGATCAAAATTTTCCTCTTCACACAAAACAACACTTGCTCGTAATATAATAGAAACAACACCTCGAAGAGAAAAACGCGTGAGCGGCCTTTCTTTTCACACCGCCGATATAATCTCTCAAACACTTCTAACCTCCTAAATATGGATTCCTTGTACAAAAAAGGGAAAGAAGTTCAGTATCCATGAAATAAAAGAATACTAGATTGGAAAACGTAATAATAAAAGAAAGAGGAGCTTTTTAAATAATTATTTGGGGATGCCACGGTGCAAGACAATCCAAGTTGAATTCCCTCACTTGATCAGTCTATTACTGAAAGCATCAATAGTAACTAAGCCGATTTGAGTATTCAGTTATTCGAGCTTAGCTCGTCAAAGTCGGTAAGGTGTTTGGGCTCAATTTGTGTTCATACGAGGTTAGCCTAGGCATGATCGGGCTGGGGCGAGACTCGGCGATGTACAGGCAAGCTCAAGCTCAGCTTCAAAACGTTGACACCTCTCAAACTTCAATCTATGCATATACACAACATGTTCATATAATATATACATATATATATATATAGAATATGCATACAAATCTACCTACCTTTCACAAGTGCAGAAAGTCGACGTCAAAGCTATTTTCAACCATCTCAAACACCTCCATCGCAATCTCAATATAATCATCTCAAAGGATTCAGATCAAAGAGAATAAAATATAAATAAATAAATAATCGAAGATAGGGAAATAATGAGAGAGAGAGAGAGAGATGATCTTGAGATGAGAGCTAGGGAGGAGAGAGCACTTAAGAGAGCTGGGGGGCAGGAGGCGAGGCGGTGGATTGCAAAGTGGTAACAAGAGGGGCATTCTCTCGTCTAGGGTTAGGGTTGCAAAGTTATGGTCTCTTTTCTTATTTTTTGGGGGTAAGTACATGGGCCTTAATGTGGATGATTTAGGGGGTTTGAAGTAACCATATATGTTCTAAAGGCATTGGTTGAGCTTAACCTACCTTGGTTTTATATACTATATAATGGGCTTAAGAAACATGAACTAAAAATTATACAGGCCTTAACAAGCTTGGAGCCTACGGAATCGAGCTCGGCATTTTTCAGGCTCGGCAAACGAGCCTAAAAAATGTGTTCAAGCTCGATACAAATACAAGTCAAGCTTTTAATGAGCCGAGCCCAAACTGTTCATGAACAATGTTGTTCATTTGCAGCCTTAATCACCTACATTGAGCAATGGACATCACATGTTTCACGCCTCCAAAGGCGTAAGTGGTGATGCTTCAACATATTCAATGCACCTCTTCAAGATAGGTGGTGGAGTTCTAGATGAGGCTCGTCTCTATCATGAATCGTACGTTGCCTCTCTCTATTCCAATCACTAATGCCTCTCTTCATTCTAGTGAGTCTACTACAGCGGACTTCACCAATTTGCCAAACATACAAAACTCACAGAACTAGCTTAAATCTTCTTCTTATTGCAAAGAGACAACTGAAGAAGGTACTATTGTTATAGCAAATATAGTTTACAACAAAGACAGAGAGGTGGCAATCAGGTTTGACTATTCAGGATGAGGCAAAAACGAAGAAAGAAAATTTAGGGTAATAAAGTCGTTTAATATTAATTAGTGAGGGCAAAAATGTCTTTGCATTCTATTTAAGACCAATATTGGAATTTAAAATTTTTCATCCCCTGAGTTTCTGTTGTTGACAGGCATTGACCGTTAATGGAAGGGGAAAATTGTTACCAATATTTGTTTTCAGGAGGCCAGTGTATTTTTTTAATTCATAAGGAAGGTCTTTGTGACCAAATTTACCCAACTTCATGACCTGGATTCCAATCATCCAACCTAAAGTGAATTGCAAAAAATTTAGGGATCATTGAGAGGAGATGTGGCCTGGAAAGAATTTACTACACTAGGATAATCAATCAAAGTGAAGTAAGTACCAAAGTTTAGGTCATTGTTGCCGTTGCCTGGTTCAAAGACAAACGGTTGAACATTAGCGTCACTAACACGAGTTCAAGTCTCAAAGTAGCCACTTTGTGAAATGTCAAAGGTTATGTCTGTAACAAGTCCTCCTTTCCCAAGACCCTACTGTAGCGGGACCAGAACCGATTAATGTCTCTCAGTGTCCCTTAATCAATCCAAGACCAATATCTTACAATATAAACAAGATCTGAAAAAGCAGTAATCAATCACACCTCCACCTGTCCAAAGCTCACTTGATTCAAGTGGGCCCCTCTTGTAATGCATTAAGTTCGAGCAAATAGTAGATTGTTGAGGGAAGGCTTCAACTAAACTTTTTCCTCTATATTTGTACTCTCTTTTTTTCATTTGATGAAGATGGCATTCAAGCTCCCAAAGAGACCAACAACCAAGCATGTGAAATCAAAAGCAACATGTCTTGCCAACCAAGCGGCTGCATCTTTGAGAAAAAAAGGTAGGTAGGTAGGGTTCAGATTCACACTTAGAAACTTCCAGACCCAGTACAGTTTGAGCAACTCCGGGACTGGATCAGCACCGGATTCATTGCAGTTCTATTTAGCACAATAAAATTCCCTTCATGTATCAACGATCAGGCTCGTGCAGGAACAGTAATCGGCAAACACATACATAAAAGTTATATATATATATATATCACATATACCCACTTTGCCCAATTGGGACTTGAAACCCTCAACCTCCTCTTAAGGATACCACTCAAGCTAGTGCTTAGTGGTTTATTAAAGTATTTAAGTCAGTACATTAATAAACATAAGAGATTAAATTCAAGATAGATACAAGGCAAGGGGACGATAATATTTAAAGAGGGAGAGAGAGAGAGAAGCAAACCATCCAGTCAAATTACGTCGTTCATAATTCTTTATTGTATCTTCCAGTTCAAGGGCCTCCATGACATAAGTCAAATACTCACTGCAAAACCAATAGTTGAGTACAATCAGGTTAACTAAAAAATCTGAACATTAAGCCTCTGAAAGTTGACACTTCCAAAATGTGGCAACATAATAATAGCATCGCATGCATCGACAACTATTATAAAATCAGAATTCAGAAAAAGCACCACTGATGCCTACATTTTTTAATACGAGGAAATGAGATGAGTTCAACTGATGCTGGATCAAAAGACCAAGCAAGACCAGTAGTTAGCTTGACTTGGGCTACATGTTAGCAGTTAGCACCAGTGCGAGCCTTTAATTTTATTTTAATACTTTGCTTTTGCTTTCTTTCATTTCATTAAATTATAGAATTTTAGTAGCCTGTTCTTATGTTCCAAATTTTTAAAGGTAATCATGATTGTATGTAATTGTCAGGATAGTCTAACACAGACAAAAATGTAGAGATATCAGGGTCGTTAGAAGCATATAATCCTGATACAAATATTTTGAGAGTCTGTTATAAACAATTTCAGCTAATTTTTTTCCAAAAACCGAGATACAGAAAACAATGTTAGGCCTGCCAAATTCTAAAATCAAAATGATTGGAGTACTAACCCAAATTTTCTGCAATCTCTATCATCTTCAGCAACTCAATGTTTAGAGATTCCTACCTATTGCAGCAACCAGAGTGGCGACAGGGGGACGTAAAAAGGGGGATCCTATCAACTTGTTCTGACCTTGGATAATAAGTTGAGCTTGGTCTTACTTCACCGTCGAGAAACGAAAGAAGACTAATTAATCAAGATACCCAATGAGGATCGTAGCCATATGATTTTGCACTTCTCGAAAAACCTAATCAGTTTCATTATTCTAAGTGGTTACTCTATTTTGAGTATCTTGTAAAGCTACTCAAATTGGAACAGTGATCGATTTCTAGGTTTTGTCATAAACCTAATTGGTTACTTCCAATTATGTAAATCAATAGTTCAAACCACACTCAATAGCAGATTTAGCACTAGTTGCATCAAAATAGGTACCAAAGCCTAAAACCTTGTTCAAATATGGTTGTATAGAGGCAATGGAATAGGAAATAAACCCAGGTCATTATGAATGGCCAACAATAAGAATATGATTTAAGATTGTGAATATACAAACACGTCAGGAACAAGAAGGCGTGACCCATATGGAGATTACAAAAGGTAACTGCAAAACCTTCTAACATATTAAAACGTAATTTCCTTTTTCTTTTGAGTCCTCATAGGAAGAAAACAACACACGAAAGAAGAAGCATAAGAAAAGTACACAAGAGAAAAGCTCAAACTTGCAAACAAATCCTACAAATCTGGTCCCCTTTATCCCTCAAGAGTAAACATAACCACAAAACCCTCCAAAAGAAAAGCCACACGATCCATGAAGAAGTCTACCCTCTCATTGACGAAACTAGATAGCCAAGAAATCTCTGCCTTTGAAGAGAAAAACAAATATAAGATATCTTGCATGAAATAAGCATATTGCCAAGAATCATAAGGTTCCGATTTCAACCAACGATCCACAACCTTGGAGTCTCCCTCAACCGAACAATGATGAAGACCCAAAGAGAAAGCTGCTCAAAAGCCTCCCAGAAAAGAGCTAGAATCTCGCTTTAGAAGCAAAACCAAATCCACCGGTCTAGAGAATGAAAAAAATAATAATAATAAAAAATAAATAAATAAATAAAAGAATGAAAAAAAAAACAACTCTGGGTTGACCCTCTAATTATGCCCCAAATGCCAAGGGACTCAGAGCCTCAAGCCCATTAAAACTAAATTTTAACAGTATCAATTGGGGTTGGTTTCCCTCCACAAAGGGAAACTTATTAGGAACATCAAAAGAGAAAACTGCTTTCAATCTTTTAAAATTAAAATCAATTGAAACCCTTCAAATTTCTTAGTCACTTAAACCAAGGAGAGGTTACGAATGCATTATATACTTGAATCTCAAAACTCCTTGTCCCTCTTTTGGTTGTCCCAATCCATAGAGCTTTAGCCTCATTACCTTTATATCAAATCCACTTAAAGCAAACCTGGACAAAAATTCAACCTCTCGAGAAGCCACCAAAGTAAGCCTTCTAGTTGAAAGTTTTAGCCATAAAGCATAAGAAAAGGTGCAAAAGATGAAGAGATCACTAGAAGTTTTTGTTGATGAAGTGTTTGTGGGGGAGAAGGAAAGGGGCAGTGTTAAGGGGGGAGGGAGGGGTAAGGGTGAGGCAGGTGTTATTGTTTCCTCATGAAGCTACAAATTTTATCTTGGAGTGCCCGTGGCCTCAATTAGGGGTGCACACGGTTCAGTTCCTTACAGTTCCAGTCGGAGCCGGAACCAGAACCGGAACCGTTCACAACAGTTTCTTAAAATTAGAACCGGAACCGGAACCGTATAGGTATGGAACCGAACCGAACCATGAATACCGGTTCGATTCCACGAGAACCGACTGTTTGTTTCACAGGCTTGACCGATGAAGATGATGAAGCTGGAGAAGCCGTGTCGCTGACTGAGATGGTGTGTGAGTGTAGATTGGAGAAGCCATGTGACCGTCTCACACTTTTCTGTCGTTGACTAATGAGAAGATGAGAGGATGAGATGGTGTGTGGGTCACTGGGTGTAGATCGGAGAAGCCTAGTGACTCGAGTGAGGAATGAAGATGAGGGGGGCGATGAGGAAGCTTTGAGCCGTTGAGATAGGGGAGGGCAATGAGGAACCCTTGAGATGTGGGGGGCGATGAGAAAGCTTTGAGGCTTTGAGATGGGGGCAGCGATAAGACTCAAGTTAGGTTTAGGATGAATGAATGAAATTGTGATGACTGATGAAATTGTGAAATGAGGACCACGTGGTTTAGTGTGGACCACGTGGCTGCCTCTGCATCAGTCACTCACAATGACTTATTGACTTTTAGTAACTTTAGACTTTGGTTAGTAAAGTCTGACTACTGAGCTGTAAGTAATTAATAATATATATAATATATATACAATTATATATATATATATACACACATATATACGGTTCGGTTCTCACGGTTCCACGGTTCTTTTGTGCACCCTTAGCCTTAATGACCTGGGCAAGAGGAAGGTGGTAAAGATGGCAATGAGAAAATGGGGGGTTCATTTGGTGTGTCTCCAATAAACGAAGATTGATCTTATGCCTGATACAATGGTTAAGAGTCTTTGGGGAAGTCGGTTCGTTGAGTGGGAGGCTCTGGATTCATTAGGGACCTCTGGAGGCATTCTTCTCATGTGGGATAGGAGATGGATGGCAAAGGTGGATGTTTATAGGGGGCGTTTCTCTTTGTCTTGTGCTTTTACAATGGAGTAGGATGGTTTCTCTTAGGCCTTCTCTAGTGTGTATGGGCCGGTGGATGACTATGAGAGGCCTGCGCTGTGGGAGGAACTTTGTATGGTGAAGGGGATGTGGTCTCTTCCTTGTGCGTGGCCGGAGATTTTAATGTGGTTAGATCCCCGTCGGAGAGATCTACAGGTGGTCCATGGACTTCGGCTATGATGCATTTTTCGGAGTTTATTGATTGGCATCAGCTTATCAATCTTCCTTTAGAGGGAGCTTCTTTTACTCAGTCCAATGGTAGGGAGACGCCTACTCTTTCCCACCTGGATAGATTGGAGAGTGGGAGGAGAAGTTTCCGAACACAGTTCAGGCTATTTTGGCTAGGGTGACGTCGGACCACATTCCTTTGGTTTTGGACTGTGGAGGTTTGAGACCTCATTGTACCCCTTTCAAATTTGAGAACATGTCGCTTAAAGCGGTGGATTTTTAAGGGATGGTGCGATCTTGGTGGGAGGAGGACGTGGTGGTGGGAACGTCGAGTTTAATTTTAGCAGGAAAGCTTCGCCTTCTGAAATTGCTGAGATTGATAGATTGGAAGCGGTGGGTGGTCTTGTTGAGTCTCAACGTAATAGGAGAGCAGCTTGTCAAGCAAAATGTGTTGAGATTGCGGTTATGGAGGAAATTTCGCGGCTACAGAAATCTAGAGCCTTGTGGCTCGAAGAGGGAGACCGTAATACAAAGTTTTTTTCATAGAATTGCTAATGCTCATAGGCGGGGCAACCATATTAGGCGGATGTGTGGGGACGGAACGGTGTTGAATACTGAGGAGGAGGTGCGTAGGGGGTCGTTTCTTTCTATCAAAGGTTATACTTTGAGCCTACGTACGTTGGAGGCCAAGGCTTGATGGTCTTCACTTTGATTCTATTTCACCTGTGGATAGGGATGGGTTAGAGAGCCCTTTTACGGAGGAGGAGGTTCTGAAGGCTTTGAAGAGTTGTAATGGTGACAAAGCTCCAGGTCCGGATGGCTTCACAATGAGATTTCTATTGGAGAGCTGGGAGGTGGTTAGACAGGAGGTTATGGGCACTTTTCATGAGTTCCATTCAAATGGGAGGTTTGAAAAGTCGCTGAATACTTTTTTTATTGCTCTTATTCCTAAGAAGGGGGGTGTTTCTGACGCTAAGGACTTCAAACCTATTAGTCTGATTGGGTGTATGTATAAGCTTATCGCTAAAGTCCTTGCGCTAAGATTGAGGGAGGTTCTGAACGGTGTCATTTCAGAGTCTCAGAATGCGTTCATTGGGGGTAGACAGATCCTGGATTCCGCTCTTATTGCCAGTGAATGTGTAGATTTTAGGCTTAGTAGCGGGGTTCCTGGAGTTCTGTGTAAGCTGGATATCGAGAAAGCCTATGATCATATTTGCTGGAATTTTTTGTTTTATCTGTTAGAGAGGATGGGTTTTGGAGAGAGATGGAGGAGATGGATTGAAACATGAGTTTCATATGTCAAATTGTCAGTGTTGGTGAATGGGTCTCCATCCGAGTTTTTTTGGCAATTCTTATGGTTTAAGGCAAGGGGACCCTCTCTCCCCTTTCCTGTTCATTATTGTTATGGAGGCTCTTAGTAAGTTGGTGGGAAGGGCTATGGCCTTGGGGCTCATAAGGGGCTTCAAGATGGGTCCAGATGCAGCTCATCAGTTGGAGATTTCTCACTTACTTTTCGCG